GGCAGTTCCTGAATGACAGTAAGGATCAATGAACTAGCTAGAGCGCTCATCAGCACCCTTGTAGATCACTGAGAACTACAAGCCGTCAGCTACAATGGCGGACGGTAGTTGTGGTTCTCCCATTCACAATTTTTATTTTTTTTTTCCAATTGTGACAACGGGTGCGGGGAGAAGATCCCCAGGCCTCTGTCACAATGAGTGATCATGGGGGTGCTGCGTTAGAAACAAGTTACACCCTGAAGACGGGTGTAGCATGTAACATGTTAGGAGGTAAACTTATCCTTTAAACAGTTTGGTCCTGCTCTCCCTAAGCTAGTGTTCAGTAGACCTGGTGTCTTCTTCAGGAAGTGGGAGTGACTAAACAACAAAAATAGGCCAAACACATACTACCTATCTTGCTTGTCTCTGGTTACATGATGCAGATCCTTAGGAAAGCTGCTAGCAGTACTCTAACATCGTCACCTCAGTTGTACATATTGGGTATGCTTCCCCCACTAAGTAACCCCCACTGTTCTGGGAAGAGACCTCAGAGCGTGGAAGTGGCAAATATCTTAACTCACAAGAACCCCTAGACAAAGCAGCCACAAGCATTGTTCAGCTGCCCTGCAATGGTTGTCAATAGCAAAACACCAAATAAACGGTGTTAGGATTCAGATATGTTGCAGGTGTGCTGTAATACAATAAACCTAAGAAAGAAAAATTCTAGCCAGCAGCTAAAACTAGTGCGCTACTAATGTTATCTGGCAAACCCTGCAGCTGTGCCAAAACAAAAAGTTTAGCTTCTCAAGTGAGTTCATTAAAGGGTTATTTGGAATGTACCTTCTGAAGCCTAGAGTCACTGTAACTCTATGCTGCCTGGATCACAGTCACAAACAAACTTCCAAAAGGCAAGATTAAATCTATTGGTAGCTGGGAGTAACTACTTAACACAACAGCTATGCATGGTTAAAAAAAAAATAATGTCCAAAGTAAGTAGGCACTGTTCCTTAAATACGTTTAACAGAAAAAAAAAAAAATAGTGTACCTGTAGTGTACCTTTAACCAATACCAGCCTAAATGATATCTATGCCTAATAGCAAATATGTAGTAAACTGTAGTCCACTGGTCCTTTAGAGTAATGGAACTAATGCAACCACTGCAGCTGGAAAGCTACAACATATTTTGTTTTTTTATTTTGATAGGCTTTAACCAATAGGACTAGTAGGCCTGTGCCAATAGGCACCAATTAGTGGTGCACCGAAATCAAAAATTCAAAATGCACTTGGCCGGAAACCGAAATGCGCAGTTTTTAAAATTGAATATATATTTTTTGGAAAAAAATACTCTTTGATTAAAAAAAACAATATATACCCCAATTGTTTTGTAACATATGTAAGAGGATGTTATGGCGAGTAAATAGATACCCAACATGTCATGCTTTAAAGTTGTGCACGCTCGTGGAATGGCTTGAAACTGTGGTACTTAAAATCTCCATGGGTGATGCTTTAAAAATGTATACAGGTTAGCAGTGTAAAGTTACAGAAGAGGTCTAGTGCGAGAATTATTGTTCTTGCGCCAACGTTCATGGAGATACCTCAAGTGTGTGGTTTGGACACCGTTTACATATGTGGGCATGGCCTACGTATGTGTTCACCACTATGTGTGAGCACGGGGGGACGGGGGCACTTTAAACTTTTTTTCACATGCAGTGAATATAATTAGATATGCATGTAACTCGATGAATGTGGGGGGGGGGAACGCAACCGTTAAAAGTTTGGTTTCAGGGGCATGTGAGAGATTTAAAAGGAAGGACTTTTAAAACCTGCTACCAGAAGATTTATATAGAAAAATCATGAAGGAGGGAAAAATTGAGAGAATAAGTACAGTATAATGACAGGTCTCTTTAAGGAGCTAGAGAGAATAATAATTGTATAGGTAGAAGTAAAAGTGGTCAGTCTTCCATTATATAGAGGAAGTCCCTCAGTGGGACGAGACATGTCAGAAGTCTAGCAATAGTATTAAATATTTGAACTATGCTTAGCTAAACAGGACTAAATTCAAAATCCCGCTTCTGCGGGAAGCCATTGTGATGTTGATTTACAAGCACGTGTTCTATGTTATTGTAAAGGGGTAGTCTAAATGGTACATACTATGGAGTTCTTTGATTTTATTAGATGTATATTATGTATTGATGTACCGTATTTTTCACTCCATACGACGCACTTTTTTCCCCCAAGAAAAGGGGGGAAAATGTCAGTGCGCCTTTTGGAGCAAATATTGAGTGGCCGGTCTGGTATTTCCGCGGCCATGTCAGAATACCGTGCCGGTCGCTCAGCTCTTCTCTCCTACAAGACCTTACCTGTTCCTCTGTCCAGTGCTGTAGTCTTCCCGTGCCGGCTTCTGTGACAGCCGGGTGCCCACTGCGCATGTGCGAGAAGCGCTGCGCTTTGTGAATGGTCCGGCGACTTCTGGGACACGACAGGTCCCAGAAGGCGCCGGGCCATTCACAAAGTGCAGCGCTTCTCGTGCATGCGCAGTGGGCACTCGGCTGTCACAGAAGCTGGCGCGGGAAGAAACCAGCATGCCCACACTAAAGAAAGGACAACTTCAGGTACCCGCTCCCCCTCCCTCCCAAAAGGTCCGCAGTCTCTTGGTCATCCCCTGTACTGTCTGCAGTCTCAGGTCATCTGTACTATGTCCACAGTCCCTGGCATTTTCCTTGTACTATGTTCACAGTCTCTGGTCATCTGTACTATGTCCACAGTCCCTGGCATTTTCCTTGTACTATGTTCACAGTCTCTGGTCATCTGTACTATGTCCACAGTGGCATTTTCCTTGTACTATTTTCACAGTCTCTGGTCATCTGTACTATGTCCCACATACTGGTCATACCTGTACTGCGTCCGCAGTCTCTGGTCACCTCCTGTACTGCGTCCCAGTCTCTGGTCACCTCCTGTACTGCGTCCGCAGTCTCTGGTCACCTCCTGTACTGTGTCCGCAGTCTCTGGTCACCTCCTGTACTGTGTCACGCAGTCTCTGGTCACCTCCTGTACTGTGCACGCAGTCTCTGGTCATCTCCTGTACCGTGTCCACAGTCTCTGGTCATTCCCTGTACTGTGTCCGCAGTCTCTGTATTCCCTGCACTGTGTCCGCAGTCTCTGGTCATTCCCTGTACTGTGTCCGCAGTCTCTGGTCATTCCCTGTACTGTGTCCGCAGTCTCTGGTCATTCCCTGTACTGTGTCCGCAGTCCGTTGGTTCAGAATTTTTTTTCCTTGTTTTCACCTCTAAAACCTAGGTACTTAATAATTAGCACAACACATTCTTTTATGAATTTTGTGTCAAATAATATGCATAAGGCACGAAGACTGGAATGGTTTGCTTGAAAGGCATGGCACCACTCAACAGCAACAATCTATTTACATCGTGTGGATAACAGCATTGGCAGTGATCTTGACACCCCATATTACCAAGAACAATTTGAATAAAAGTAGAGGGGTACCTCTAAACAATATAAGATGGTTCCCTGCTGCACTGTGCACTTATTGGGATCTGTACATTTATTGCGGATGTAATTATATCAAAGCAAAAAATAAATAAATATTAGGAAAAATGCTGTGAAGTATTGTGGGATAATACAGTGGGGATCTCTCATTGATCTATAAGGAGGGCAGATCGTAACATCCATACACAATGATCTGAGCCTTCAAGATAATTAGTATAATCATGTACACCCTACTTGTGTACGTTGACATCAGAGTGATTTTCAGTTGACGCTTTTGAATATTCTATAAGAGGATTAAAATGGGTGGTTTCCGCTGAATATTATGTGATAAAGTGCAATGTTACAGTTATGTGGGCATTTAAAAAAAAAAAAAAGGAAAGGAAAAAAAAAAGCAGTTTCAGGCACAGTGGTAGTAATTAGCACACAATTAGAGCTAAAAGCAATTTCTATGAGATGCAATTATTTACTTTTTGAATAAAATAAAAGTTCATTTATACATTCTTGATAATACAGTTGAGAGTGGAGTACTTCAATGCCTACCATTTTCTTTTTCATATTTGATTACCGTATTTTTCGCTCCATAAGATGCACCTAGTTTTTAGAGGAGGAAAACAAGAAATAAAATTATTCTGAACCAATGGACTGCAGACAGGAACTGACCAGAGACTGCGGACATTACAGGAGACGGCCAGAGACTGCCGACATGGTACAGGAGATGGCCAGAGACTGCCGACATGGTACAGGAGACGGCCAGAGACTGCCGACATGGTACAGGAGACGGCCAGAGACTGCCGACCGACATGGTACAGGAGACGGCCAGAGACTGCCGACCGACATGGTACAGGAGACGGCCAGAGACTGCCGACCGACATGGTACAGGAGACGGCCAGAGACTGCCGACCGACATGGTACAGGAGACGGCCAGAGACTGCCGACCGACATGGTACAGGAGACGGCCAGAGACTGCCGACCGACATGGTACAGGAGACGGCCAGAGACTGCCGACATGGTACAGGAGACGGCCAGAGACTGCCGACATGGTACAGGAGACGGCCAGAGACTGCCGACATGGTACAGGAGACGGCCAGAGACTGCCGACACATGGTACAGGAGACGGCCAGAGACTGCCGACCGACATGGTACAGGAGACGGCCAGAGACTGCCGACCGACATGGTACAGGAGACGGCCAGAGACTGCCGACCGACATGGTACAGGAGACGGCCAGAGACTGCCGACCGACATGGTACAGGAGACGGCCAGAGACTGCCGACCGACATGGTACAGGAGACGGCCAGAGACTGCCGACACATGGTACAGGAGACGGCCAGAGACTGCCGACATGGTACAGGAGACGGCCAGAGACTGCCGACATGGTACAGGAGACGGCCAGAGACTGCCGACATGGTACAGGAGACGGCCAGAGACTGCCGACATGGTACAGGAGACGGCCAGAGACTGCCGACATGGTACAGGAGACGGCCAGAGACTGCCGACATGGTACAGGAGACGGCCAGAGACTGCCGACATGGTACAGGAGACGGCCAGAGACTGCCGACATGGTACAGGAGACGGCCAGAGACTGCCGACATGGTACAGGAGACGGCCAGAGACTGCCGACATGGTACAGGAGACGGCCAGAGACTGCCGACATGGTACAGGAGACGGCCAGAGACTGCCGACATGGTACAGGAGACGGCCAGAGACTGCCGACATGGTACAGGAGACGGCCAGAGAGACTGCCGACATGGTACAGGAGACGGCCAGAGACTGCCGACATGGTACAGGAGACGGCCAGAGACTGCCGACATGGTACAGGAGACGGCCAGAGACTGCCGACATGGTACAGGAGACGGCCAGAGACTGCCGACATGGTACAGGAGACAACCAGAGACTGTGGACATAGTACAGGAGATGACCAGAGACTGCGGACATAGTACAGGAGACGACCAGAGACTGCGGATATAGTACAGCAGATGACCAGAGACTGCAGACCTTTGGAGATGGGGGGGATTGGGGGAGGGGGTACACGAATTTGACAGGTACCCGCTCCCACTTCTGCTGCAATAGCCTAGGAGATTGGAAGTGGAAGTTTCCCTCCCCGTAGTCTTCTGGGATACGCAACAGGTCCCAGAAGACTACGAGGCCATTTACAAAGCACAGCCAGTGAACCGCTGGACCGAGGAGCAGGTTTTGCTGCACAGAAGAGCCGAGCAGCAGGCCCGGTATTCTAACACGGCAAAAAAGACAGTATATGGTTCCGTTTATTGGCAGACGTGTACCCACTTATAAAATTGTGATGAAGTGAGCCTCTCTCTGAAATTATCATAAATCACATTTTAGACTTTTTGCTTCCGAAAATATTATATTTATTAATTTGGTTGGTAGCGATACACTTGCACCTTGTGAAAATGCTAATGCCAACTTTTCAACATATTACATCCTTTTAGGGTATAACATGCTGCTAAGCAAACTTCCACTCAAACCCAAAAGCACCCCCCAAGGTAGTTTGTGGGGCAGCTATTACTTTTGAAATCAGCTCCACCTGCAGATCCATGTCATTCATTCAAAGATCTGTGAATAAATAAACTACAGGTCTGCCACCGCAGCAGAGAGACTTGTAGTTCTCAATGTAGTACAAGTGCGGTTTGAAGGTTTCTGTGCAAAAACAGGTAAATAAAATAAATAACTGCACATTTTTTTTTCCTGCTAAAATAAGTGCATTTTTATTTCTTTAAAAAGGTGAACCTAGCCTTTAATATTAGTGCGATGTGAATAACCAAACCTGGTTGCGAGCTATGCAATCCTCCCTATTACCAGTAAATTCACCAGTAAAAACATACAAGTGGCTTTCCAGAGATTTGCTTCCTTAGGCTCCATGCACACTAGCATTTTTTTAAGCTCCTAGAAGCCATTTCGAACATTTTTTTTCTGCTCCTAGAAGCTAATAGTGTTATACTATGTGTCTATTCATGCAATTTTACGCTAGAAGTGTTTTCAAGCTTCAGCGTTTAGGAGCAGAAAACATATTGCTTTAGTAGCATTTTCCCAGCAGAAAACGCTACTAGCTTTTTTTTTCTTCACGTACTTTAAAAATACTAATAAAACACTAATACTCCTAAATACTCATGAACACTAAAACGATACTACAAACCAGCACAAAAATGGAATTGGCGTTTTTCATCCCGGGTTTTCTTCTAGTGTTTTTTGAAAATATGTAACAAAAATGCTAGTGCTCATGGAGCCTTAATCTGTTAATAGCTGCTCAGAGTGGATCTTGATATAATAAATATTTTACAAAAAAAGTGTACTGAAAAAGTAACAGTTTGTGAAAATGAAAGTTATACCATACAGCACACAATTGTTTTATTATACTTGCACTATAAATCGACCCACAACTACCTGATGCATACATTCCACAGAAAAATAGGAGCCACCTCATGAGTATAACATTGCCTAAACACTCCAAATTTTATTCTTATATTTTTACAGAAATGAATGCATTCCACGGCACTGTACATACATGCTCGGTCACGACATATCAGCATACTAAGATACAGCCCAGAATGAATCACTATGGGGAATTATTTAATAAATATACGAGGAGCAGTAATGTGCAATTTCCATTTGCATCCAATAACAGGACAGTTTTGAGCAGGGATCTGTGGCTAAACTTGACTGGTTAGCAATGATTACCACTGAAAACTACTGTACTTTGCATAAGTTATAAAAACAACTTGAGCATAAAACAGTTTTTACGTTTTATGCTAAAGTGAATAAAGTGTTCACCCTACTGTAAATAATATTGTCGTTATGCGTTAATATTTTATAAACCAGTCACATAAAAGCAACCATGTTTACCCATTATATTCACAAGCTGCGATCCCTCAATATGCCCATAAGTACTGAACAGAAGCCTTAGGAGAAAGGAGGACAAGTGAAATATCATTCACGGTCTTCCCCATTTTACTGATCCAGCTAAAGCGGTTATAGAGTATTTCAGGTAATCCTTTAAGGCTTACCTGTAGGTACTGTAAATATCTCAAACATGCACCGTTTAGAGACATTTGCTTTAGCAGCGCAGGTAACGTCGCCAGCGCATGCGCACTGCGCTATCAAAGGATGGATTTACATCCATTGCGAGAGCCATGCAGTGGCCAAGACTCCCATGCACATGCGTGGGAGTGACGTAACCACGCTCAGCCAGTTAAACGGTCACAAACTGGGAACCTGGAAGGAAGACCTGGTGAAGATAAAAGTCCGGGACTGTGACAGTACTCTGCTGGAGGGCTTCATTTTCAGGTAAGTCTTTCTCACACACAATTTATGTACCTCTTCTTGGATTTTGTTTTTTTTTTGGAAAGGAGAGGTGCCAAGTTACTACATCCCTTTTACACTAAAGCGTAGGTCTGGGATTGAAAAACAAAAAAAAAAAAAAAAAAAAAAAAAAAGGCCTTGCAGTGGTTTCCGCCGGCCGCAGTCACATGTTCACCCCCTCTACACGCAACGCAGGATTAAAAGCCCTGCATTGTTCATGATGATGCTAAGGAAACAACTACAGCCTGGAGCTTTAGAGAGAAAAACAGGACAGTCTACTGGAGAAGCCACTACGGGAGTAATACTGCACAGTTCAACATAAGGCCTCATGCACATGGGCAGTTTGGCTTATACAAAAACCCTGGATTTTTAGGCAAAAGTGAGGCACAGGAGCAGCATACAGCCAACATGAATGACAGGCTGAAATAGGTGGTAGCTGGACGCTGTCCTGAGTGGTACACACATTTAGAGACCACTCAGAACAGCATATGGCAGCCATATATTTCAGCCAGTCACTGAATTTGGCAGGCTGCTAGCAGGAAGCTGGTGCCCTGCAGGTATCCCCCTTACCTGTCAGCATATCTGCTTTCTTGTACATCCCATACGGGCAAGCAGACACTTACTAACAGGAAGGCTAAATGAGTTCAATGAAAACTACAAGCAGACAGACGCAAAAGCTGCTGATTTGCAGTTTTCCCATTCACATACAAAATGATCAAGCACATAGAGAAGGGCATTCCAATAACACTTCAATAGTAACACTGGAATGCCCTTCTGTATGTGCTTGATCATTTTGTATTGTATCAATTATTTATTTTATAATATGATTTTGTTCCTGTACAGATGAATGGAGACTGTATTGCTTTGGTCTGTTCCTCTGGACATATGGCTGGAAAGGCCATTGAGTTTTGATGTGGCGGTACATGTGGTCCCCATCATTGAACGTGTGCATCCCAACAGGGACCACAGTGAGGAACAGAAGTATTTGAACACCCTGCGATTTTGCAAGTTCTCCCACTTAGAAATCATGGAGGGGTCTGAAATTCACATTGTAGGTGCATTCCCACTCTGAGAGACAGAATTTAAAAAAAAAATAAAATTTTCAGGAAAATCTCATTGTATGATTTTTAAAGAATTTATTTGTCTTGCACTGCTGAACATAAGTATTTTAACACCTGAGAAAATCAACGTTAATATTTGGTACAGAAGCCTTTGTTTGCAATTACAGAGGTCAAACGTTTACTGTAGTTCTTGACCAGGTTTGCACACACTGCAACAGGGATTTTGGACCACTCCTCCACACAGATCTCCTCTAGATCTGTCAGGTTTCGGGGCTGTCGCTGAGCAACATGGAGTTTCAGCTCCCTCCAAAAATGTCCTATTGGATTTAGGTCTGGAGACTGGCTAAGCCACTCCAGAACCTTGTATGCTTCTTACGGAGCCACTCCTTGGTTATCCTGGCTGTGTGCTTCGGGTCATTGTCATGTTGGAAGACCCAGCCACGACCCATCTTCAATGCTCTGACTGAGGGAAGGAGGTTGTTGCTCAAAAGCTCACAATAAATGGCCCCATTCATCCTCTCCTTAATACAGTGCAGTCGTCCTGTCCCCTTCGCAAAAAAGCACCCCCAAAGCATGATGTTACCACCTCCATGCTTCACAGTAGGGATTGTGTTCTTGGGATGCAACTCATCCTTCTTTTTCCTCCAAACACGACGAGTGAAGTTTAGACCAAAAAGTTCTACTTTGGTCTCATCTGACCACATGACTTTCTCCCATGCCTCCTCTGGATCATCCAGATGGTCATTGGCAAACTTCAGACAGGCCTGGACATGTGATGACTTGAGCGGGGGAACCTTCCGTGCAATGCATGATTTGAAACCATGACGACGTAGTGTTTTACCGACAGTGACCTATGAAACTGTGGTCTCAGCTGTCTTCATGTCATTGACCAGCTCCTCCCTTGTAGTTCTGGGCAGATTCCTCACCTTTCTTATCATCAGTGATATCCCACGAGGTGAGATCTTGCATGGAGCCCCAGTCCGAGGGAGACTGACAGTCGTCTTTAGCCTCTTCCATTTTTTAACAATTGCTCCAACAGTTGATCTATTTTCACCAAGCTGCTTGGCAATTGCCCCGTAGCCCTTTCCAGTCTTGTGGAGGTCCACAATTTTGTCTCTGGTGTCTTTTGACAGCTCTTTAGTCTTGCCCATGGTAGTAGTTGGCGTCTGACTGACTGTGGGGTGGACTGGTGTCTTTAAAGAGCTCAGACAGGTGCTACTAAGTTAGATTAATGAGTTGAGTAGAGGTGGACTTTTTAAAGGCACAGTAACAGGTCTTTGAGAGCCAGAATTCTTGCTGTTTCTTAGGTGTTCAAATACTTATGTTCAGCAGTGCAAGACAAATTATTTAAAAATCATACAATGTGATTTCCTGAATTTTTTTTTTGAATTCTGTCTCTCAGAGTGAGAATGCACCTACAAGGTGAATGTCAGACCCCTCCATGATTTCTAAGTGGGAGAACTTGCAAAATCGCAGGGTGTTCAAATACTTATGTTCCTCACTGTATATAGGGCTGGCTACCCAGTGGCACCTTGTTATTACTATCCAGGCATCCACCTGGTGAGGAAGCAGAGGCACACAGCTGAGGACACTAGACAACAGATACCCTATGCAGTCTATATCGGACAGATCCATATTTATGTATACTGATTACTATATATTCAAAGACTTATTTTTGGCACCTTTTGTTTTTATTACCTCAGAGCTGGCCACTATATCGGGCAGCCATTGGGGGGATCCCCTACAGTTCAATTTACCTTGGGCCATTTTACCAGATGAGAAGTCGGCCTTTCAAGCACCCAACTCTT